AACGTACACCAGTTCAAGTTGCCACACCACATTAGCACAGAGAGATGGAATCATAAACTCAAATCCAATAGTGGTAGACGTAGTAGAAGTATTAGCAGTGATCGGAGAGATTCAGTCAGTCAGTTGCAACGTAGAACTTCGAACGTAAGTACATTAGTTCATGTCGCCATACCACATCAGCACAGAGATGTAATTGTCAATTCAAATCCAATAGTAGAAGAGATAGTAAAGGTATTAGAAGTGATCCGAGAGGTTAGGATTAGAAGATATTATTCAAGAAGTATGATTCAATGAGATAAGTTTAGAAAGTCAAAACTAGAGGTGTTGAAGAATCCAGAAGATTAGGATTTGAGAGAACACAAAGAATAAATGCACCGGCGCCATTGCGAACGATTCTGAGCCATGTCATTCAAGGTCTCTAACCATCGATTATTATCATCTCGCGGACCCCAACCAGGTAGTCGACAATTACCGACATGGCTAAGTCCACTAGTCAACGACATCATGGATTTCTGCCATGTTTTGGTTTGGCCGCCCCTAACTTTCTTCCAACCTACTCCTACACTACAAAACAAGGCTCGACGAGGCAGTCGGTGGTTCGGCATACGCAACACATGTCCCAACCACCTCAACTGATGAAGTTTCACCACTTCATCGATTGCTCTCCCATCCTTACCTAGTACTCGTTTCCTAACGACAGCATTGCTCACTCGGTTGTCCCACGGTATTCGAGCAATGCTTCGAAGACATCTATGATCGAAAACTAGTAACCTACAAATATCTTCTACTCTAACTGGCCATGTTTCACAGCCATATAGGAGAACGGAGCGAACTGCTGCACAGTACACCCGCCCTTTAATTAGAGAACGGATATCACGCCTACGCAATAAGTGACACAGGTTGGCAGAAGCCAATCGAGCCTTCTGTATCCGAGCTGAGATTTCGTCAGTCACCAGGCCATCGGCACTGATGAGACTCTCGAGATAAGTGAAGCGGTCTACACGTTCGACTACTTCACTCCCTATCACTAGTTCAGGTGCCGATGCAACCCAGTCTTGAAGCAACATTTTGCATTTCGAGGGGGAAAACCGCATCCCGAACATGCTCGCCTTGTTGCCTATGGTAGTCAGAAGACTCTGCATTTTGTCAGCATCTTCACCAAGTAGGACTACGTCATCGGCATATTCTAAGTCAATAAGCGAGCCTCCTGGTAGAAGGTCTACTCCAGAACATTCAGACGAGGATAAGGTTATTTCTAGGAGCATGTCTATGATAAAATTAAACAAGAATGGAGAAAGTGGACAGCCCTGACGGACACCACTTGATGTAGAGAATTCAGATGACAGTTCGCCATAAGCCCTCACTCGACCAGTGGTGTTCGAATAAAGGGCTTGTATGAGGTTAATGTACTTCTCTGGTACACCTTTCAATGACAGACACTGCCACAGAACCTCACGATCCACTGAGTCAAATGCCGCCTTTAGGTCCAGGAAAACAACTATTGTAGGACGCCTAGATGTGTGTCTATGTTCCAGGACCTGTCGTAGTGTGAAAATGTGGTCTATACAGCCACGTCCAGGTCGAAAACTAGACTGGTTTTCTCGAGTTTGCTCTTCACGAGCTTTCGTTAAGCGTAGAAGTATGACTGAGGCCAATATTTTAGATACTATATTAGTTAGACTTATTCCCCTGTGATTGTCACTAGAAGACTTCTGTCCTTTCTTATAGATTGGGACAATCAGTGATTGAGACCAGTCGGATGGGATTACGTCCAGTTCCCAGATTCTACCTAAGATCTCAGTCAACCTAGCTGATAAAACTGGACCACCATCCTTAAATATCTCAGGGGTCAGTCTATCAGGACCTGCAGCTCGTCCTCGCTTCAGATTTCCTAACGCTTTTTCAACTTCATTAAGACTAGGAGGACTTACGTCGACTTGCCATTCCGGATGACTGGAGATCGTGGGTAACCGAAGAGTGGCTCAAGGCCAGTTGAACTGATCCCTAAAGTGTTCTGCCCATCGATCTAGTCTCATGGATTGAGAATAAATAATAGTCCCGTCATTTTCTGAGATAGTCTCACTTACACTAGGATTCCTATTACCAGTTTCCTTGATAAGTCGGAAAAGTTGTCTACTGTTGCCTATTGCCGCTGCCTTTTCCATCGCTTTTGCTTTCGCCACCCACCACTGTTCGCGATCGTTCCGTAGGCTTTTCATAAGTCTGCGCCTAAGTTGACTTCGTTCTTCATCATGTTCAGAGCCAGGTGGGATGAGTTTTCGGGCATCCATCAGATCGGTGGATGCTACGAGGATCCTCGGTTTCATTCCAGACTTATGGTCAACCTTACTAGCAGATACCACTGCTGTTTCCACAGCCTTTTTTATATCATTCCATCCTGCTTCCGGATGGGAATCACTTAAGTGGTCGCCTAACTGTCTTCCTAGTTGTTCCTGAAATATATTCTTCGCCTTTTTATCATTAAGTAAAACCCTAAGAGGCTTTCTTACGGTGTCTTCCCTACTCCCAGTAAGCTTCAAACAAATACGCGCTCGCACTAGGGCATGATCTGAATCTAGACATGTGCCCCAGAACGAGCGACAGTCCTCTATCGAACCCCTCAATCGGTGGCTGATGGCGATGTGATCTAGTTGAGTCCAACGTTGAGACGACTTTGGAGGTCGCCAGGTCAACAGATGTGCCTAAAGTAAGTGTTTGCTAAGAATAGGCGGTTGCTTGAGCATACTTGCAACAGAAGGTCACCATTGTCTGTTCTCTGAGCCGCGACACCATAACATCCACCTAGGTGTCTCTCCTGCTCACCTAGTCTACCTACTTGAGCATTAAAGTCACCAGCCATTATAACTATATCAGAGCGCCTAGATTTTTGGAGGAGGTCTGAAAGCTTTCTGTAAAACTCATCTTTCACATCGTCTGCACTGCAGTCAGTGGGGGCATAGGCAGATACGATGAAGAGGCAACGGCGATTGTCCCTATCTTTCCGAGTCCTTACTGTCCCGTTTAGTCGGACAGCGCACAAGCGACTATCTACTGGGATCCAGTCAAGGAGAGATTGTTCTGCCCTACGACTCAATGCTATGCCTACGCCAGCAAGACCCCTGGAAGCAGTATCAGGGCTTCCAGATACACGAAGGGTAAATCGAGCTGCTTCTTTATCTTGACATGGTGTGGCCAAGTGTATGACGCGACTCGGATCCTGTATGCGCGTTTCCGAGACGCAGCATACATCGATTGCACGAGATTCTAAAGTCCTAGCTAATGATGCCTGTTGCCCTATTTGACACAATGTCCGTACATTAAAAGCTCCAACATGTAGTCTAGAGCGAGGTTTAAGGAGACCAGGAACGACGTTTCGCAAACCCGTATCGTCTGCATTAGCTGTGCACTGTGATAAATGAATGTGAGAAGAGTTAGTCGTGGAGATAAGAGAGGTACTAGGGGGTGTAGGAAGGATTTGATTTTGACCAATTTGGTCTCGCGTGCTGTTATGGGTATGAGAGCGGTTGTCACTTCCCGGCTGCCCACACCGTGGAAGGTTGTTTCTTGAGGAACCTGAAAAGGAAGATAGATTAGTGTTGGTGCGTGACCGCAGAGCCCAAGGGACAACTGCTTGAGGCCGGTCACGCACGGCCTTTTTATGAAATGTTTTTTGAGGATTAGCTCCGTTCTTAAAGGCACTTAGTGGGCACCCTTACCCAAGGAGACGGAAATCCGTAAGGTAGGGGAGGTGTGACATTTTTAGGGTCGACCTTTTCTAACCCTTCCTTCCTTGTGAGAAGGCAGCATCGCTGCAGATGCTGGTTGTCCTAGGGAAACACCTTACTGCTGTCACACCCCTCTGCAGTCAGCAGTAGGACTGCGCCCTCAGACCTTGGGTAGCTGCTTTTAGTCTCATCGTTCTCCAATCGACCAGCCTGGCATGGTAGGACCTGCAGGAACATATGTTCCAGCCAGTATAGCTCGGTTGGGTCATCACGATAGGCAAGCCCGACCATCACGTCAAGGTAGCAGCTACGGTCGGGGAGATTAGGGTTCAAGGATATGGTTTGAGAAGTATATCCCAGTAAAATGAAACTAAAAAGCTAAATAAGGTCATGAAGGATTCAGAAGATTAGAATGTGAGAAAATAAAAAGAATACATGAGCCTGAGCCACTTAAAACGATTTCATCCAAAGTCCCTGAATACCGGTCACGATTGTCTCGCCGACCCCAACCCGGTAGTCTACACTAACCAACATGACTCAGTCCACTTGTTAGTGACTCCATGGATTTCTGCCATGTTTTGCTTTGGCCGCCCCCAGCTTTCTTCTTTCTACACCACAAAACAAAGCTCGTCGAGGCAGTCGGTGGTTAGGCATTCGTAACACATGTCCCAACCAACTCAACTGATGAAGATTAACTACTTCATTTATTGGTCTGCCATCCTTATCTAGTAACCGTTTTCTAACAACGGCATTGTTTACTCGATAGTCCCAAAATAAAGGAGCAATGCTTCGGAGACACCTATGATCGAATACCAGTAACCTACCAATATCTTCTACTCTTCTACATCGACGGCATGGGATTCCAGAGTCCTAACTAAGGAAGCCTGTTGCCCTATTTGACACAATGTTCGAACATTAAAAGCTTCAATATGTAGTTTAGAGCGGGATTCCAGGAAACCAGGAATAACATTCCGTGTACTCAAATCGTAATCATTAGCGTCGTGAGGTGATAAAGGCATACGAGAAGAAATAGTCTTGGAGATAAGAGAGTCATTAAGAAGTGGAGGAAGGTTTTGATTGTGACCGATTCGGTCACGTATACTTTTACGTATATGAGGTCGGATCCCACTTCCCGGCTGCCTACACCATGGAAGAGTACTTTTTCAGGAACCTGAAAACATGATGGAAGGTAGTTATAATAGCAATACCATAACATCAATATAACGGTTAGTTTTTAAAAGCAAGATCTATCAAGAAATATTGTTTAGGATTAACCTTCATTATGAATTTATCCAAAATATTACTGCTTGAGAAATCAAAGTCCAATATTTCAAACGCCTCCATGGTTTTAATGTTGCATTCTGCTACGACCCCATTTTCTTCTAGTCTGTAAACAGATAATAAATTAACATTAAATTACATAATGTTCAAAGCACTCCCGTGAGTTTTGTAAGATAAAATGAGTGAAACTGGTGATCCTTGAGCTGAAGTCCCAAAAATAGAAAGGCAGTCCTGAAGAAATTTAAGGAGCATCAAATTCTACTTACAACAAGTACACCAAGATTTGTTCTAAATGATACTATATCCTTCTTTACAGAATACTCACGGAAAAGCGCTGAATGAAGAAAAGCATTTCCTTGAATACATTTTGAGTCCTCTACAGTCACTTTAATACCATTATTTGTGGCAAATATTGTAGCAAGCTAGACACTAAAGATAAAGCGACTATATGAACATACATCACGGAAGTGCACGGCCTTTAATATATTGATGATTACTTTTGCATTATCCATTCCCAAATAGATAAGTGATCCGTCCATCGTTTTATCAGTACATGCGTTATCAATAAATGGAAGTTAATATTGTATAGGGAGAAAAAATTGAATCTATGGAAAAGAAAAGTAGCAACAACACAACCAAATACTGATGTATTTTTATCCAAATTACATGAAAAATTACAAAACATAGAAGATACGACTCCAAAACTACTTAGTAGATTGGTGAAACTGGACTGTTTAGATTCTAAATACACTCGTGAATTCAAAAGCCCTAATTTTCATTGTCGTTATCGACTTTGACTCATAGAATACTAACTATTGATATTTAAGCAAAAAAATCAGTGTTGATTATGTATGCTAAGTGCGTTAATTCAGCAAGCAATATTGAGTTTAAGTCAAGTCAAGCTCCAGTGGGTAGTATTCTGTTCAAATGAGGATACGGTTTTTCTAACATGCCAAATAAGGAACTGCTAACTTACAATTAATAATCATAACAATAATCTATGCTTCTTTCATTCTTTTTTAAGTGACAGAATGAGTGTTGGGATACGAGTATTCCGACCTACAGAATTGAGGCTTTTTGGTAAGTAATGCTTTAAATCTAATTTACCCAAATAATTACAGAGACTGTGGGGTCACGTCGCTAATCGCATTCCGAAAACGTTCCTCAATTATTGATGTTCAAGTAATCAGGGATTTATAATGCGCAATTGACAGAGAATTAACAAGCTGTCAAAGCTATACCGTGTCCAGAAGTTACATTTCAGCATGCGTTACTGGACTTGCAGTATTTCTAGTCAGGTCATTTAAGCTTAAGCGTGGTTAACCTTAGAATAGAAACGAAAATCACAGCTCTAAACGTACATCCATGTGTTGTCAGATAACCATACTCACTGAGATCCCTGACTCTGTCATAAAGCTTGATGCTTTATTGCAAAATTCATCAAATTAGCTAGCTGAGATATCAAAAACAACACTAATTAATGCTGAAAAATGTAAAGTTTGGGAATTAATACGAGTGGTATAAAAGCATATTCTCAACTACGAAATCAAGTGGAAACAGTTGCTAGTCCGGAAATTTTGTGAAACTAAACTAGAACTTGAGGATTTACCCCGATCTGGGGATCCCCAGTAAAATGAGGGGATCTCAGTGGTAGTTTTGATAAACTACTTTGATTAAACTACCAGAACTCCTTGCAATACACTATAACGCCTACGCAGACTTTTTAACATATTCCTCGGGATTATATCAGGAAGATAAGGAGCAAAATCGTCCCAAAAAACAGCAGCGTCAAGTGAGAACCACGGACAATTTTTTAAGCTGTTTGTTCTCAATCAAACAAGAACAGGGAAATGAAAAGGAACTTGGAGGAAATAAAGACCGTTTATTTTACCCTCCTGACGTAGACTAGCTAGACGAAAAGTATGGTCATTTACCCCTGCTAGGCGTAAGAGGAGATATTCAGCAACAATGTTGCCCGATTTCACACATTGTTCAAGGTCACTGAGAGATTATTTACCAGCATCCAAACCACCTCTGCACTTTGAATACCCAATCGTTTTCGCACCATTTTTACAGCTACTGTTCATACAGAGCAGATAAACGCGACTGTCAGAAAAGAAATACTTCGTGTTGGGACATTGAATCCACTGTATCTTTCTAGAAGTGACACTGCTGGAGGATCAAGTATAGTTGGGATGCGAAATGGTGAAGTCGGATCAGTCAAACTTTACTGACTTGGTACAACGTAAGCCTAACTGGACTCACTTAGAATGAGTAACAGAGCCTTATCTGAAAGTGTGAAGTGTTAAATTAATCCCAAAAATAATTAGTCCTGTATATCTTCGATAGTGATGATGATCCCACCAATGTGACTGGATACACTCTATCTGAAGGTGCTTGATCATACTTCCGCACCAGAAAACCGTTGAGTGCCCCACGATACCCATCCCCTCGCACCATTAGCCAGTTAAGATCTTTCATTTCTCAACACCCAGCTATCCTGTAAATACAACTTAGATCTCACTCATTCCTGACTTCTGGTTTGACTGAGTTACGATATTCTCAATTAGATGGTTGTTAAAGAAAAATCTGTTGTCAAATACAGAATATCTCTGACAACTTTGACGGTGAGCATGAAGCAATCTAGCACACATCATATACTACTGATCAGTGAAAGCAAATTGATTACAGACTATACCCACTCACGAGCAAATTCATAATCGACGAGTTCACCGAATCATTATTCGAAAGGTACTCAAAAGTGTACCAATCGGTGTCTTTATTGATCGCAATGTCAAACATCACATTACGACTACAGGACTGATTATCAAAAGCTCGAAGACTAACTCCTGAGAGCTGAAAACTGACCAAAACTTAATTCGAATGCATGGAAGGGTTAGGAATTATATGACCATAAAACAGCCCAGTAGTATCTTTCATTTTAGCCCTAAAGAAAGCAGGCAGTAATTGGCGTCTAGCCTCTGATCACGGGCAACTGAATATGAAAGCTACAACTGATCATTTCCCTTTGCCTCATATCCACAAATCAGCAGTTATACTAGTAAGTACAACTCTGTTTTAGAAAATCGACTTAGTTATATCTTATAATTAATTCCCTGTGGTTGTGGAAGCAATTACTAAATTTATATAACAACTGCATTACTGCATATGATTTTCGATTTAAGAAATGCTGCTTAAACTTTGCAAGCATTCATTAATGACGTTTTCGGGGTCTCATTCGTGTGCATTCTTATGTTTGAAACTGAATGATCATAGGTCCGGACACAAATATTATCTCAAAAATCTTATTACCAGCATCTGAATATTGTTTTTGAATGGTTTTTAAAACGTGACATTGCTGTAAACATACAGGAATGGAAAATTGGAACCGAGTTTCAAAGTTAATGTATTGCCGTCAGTCTGCAGTATAGCTTCTACATGAGAGCATGAATGTCAATCTTTAACATCGTCCCAGTTTATGTGTCATGGGCTAACATCGACTCCTGAATAGATTTGCCTGGTGTTGTGTTCAGGGGCTGTTGTAAAATATTTTTTTGGAAAAATGGACGAAAAACCAGCAGTACATCTTCCTGGAAGTGTTTGATAGAAATACACGATCATCAACTCAGAACACTGCAGGAGCACCTTAACAGCCTCCAGTTTGTCAGGATCTTCACTCATCATTCCCCTTAGATCTTCCTATGGTTTGAGTGGTCGAGATCACTTGTAGGTGTATTAGCTCCCAACCACACAGTCAGTGATTGGGAGCTTCAGCATCACTGACTGAAAAGACTCACAGCAGTTGTGGAACAGTTGGGAGATCAGTAACGATAAAGGCACGAAACACTCACTCAAGACAGCATCACTAGGTCGTGCAGGAGTGGTCATCACGTTACCTCCTACCTCTCATTTTAAAAATGTGATCCTCCTCCCGGCCAAATGTATATCTCTGGAAGTCCTAAGAATCACGCTAATGACTGACATGATAGGACGAGTTTGTACAATCAGATTATAGCAGGCCTGCAGTTGTAGAATGAGTCTATTATTCTAGTGCCATAGACGAGCTCACTATTACCTGCTTAGTCCTAAACGGAACAGCTTTTACCTCCTGAATTCAGTTCTAAAAAACTGCTTCTCATAGGAGAACCTAGCCCTACATATCAACTTTGGATGAGTTTCTTGCCATACTTATACTTATGTACCAGATCTGTGATATACCTATTATATGTCTATGATATACCACTCTACTTACAAAAATGTAGGGTTCAGAAACTTACATCAACGCATGATCTGGTTACCCGTTACTCCAGTAGCCTAAAATTAAAAGAACATGCTTCAACTGTTATCTCTAAATCTAATTAGGTTTATAAATAAGAACTTTTTTGATAGGTGAAGCTAAGCTTACACTCTTCAAAATGTGTGTAAGGCCCTCACTTGAATATTGCTCAATTATCTTCTAAAATATGAATATCATGAACAAGATAAGAGTAGAAAATGTCCAAAGAAGCTTCACCCGGCTACTGCTGAGGTGGAGCCATAACCTCAACTACACAGAAAGATGTAAACATCTTTCCCTAGAACCCCTATGGCGCAGTCACTTGAAAAACAACCTATAGATGCTGATCAGTTACTGTCAATTACAAGGAACTCAAACTCTCTGTAGCATTCGCCTTATTCCAATACCTATTTATTAGTCTGGATTTTTGCCGAAGACTTGGTTACCTTACCCAACGGCCTGTTAACTAATCAACCAGTTCTTGGCACATTTACCTCATCAACTCTTGTTATATGCAGACCTGGCTTTACCTTGCATTGTTTCACGGTCATTGAGAAGCTCGTCGTAACTCGCGCCAATTATTCGCTTTGTAGACTGTACAGTCTGCAAAATTATCTTTAATTATATGTGAAAACTTTTAGCCATCTAAATGGAGCCATCTTATGAAAGATATTAGTGACTGTACATCGTTTTAAAAGAAATGTGTTGCCAATCTTAACATTCAGATTTTGCCTGTAAATTGGAATGCCTCTTGTAACATGTTCGTTGCTTGAGAATAAATTATTATTATTTTTATTACATTTTGGTACTCTGCTTAGTCCCGTTTTGTGCTGTTAATATTTGTATTTTGTTATAGTTTCTATTTTGGTACCTTTATTCGAGTTTCTATGTTTCCTTCTGAACTATATTATATTTTTTAAGTTGATAATTAATTATGGCTTTAGCTATATCGGATTTGATACCTTGGCAGGTAAAACGTGCATCTGGACCTTTATGGAAACACACTGTGTTAATTTTGACGGAGAACAGTGTACTATTGTTTAGGTAATTATCTGTATTTTTTGATTGGTAATAGAACCGTTTCTTACCCAGATAAATTGCTTTCTTTCTGGGTTAACTAGGAAAGGTGCGTATCTAAACTGCTATAATTGTTTTTCCGAATCTTACACCGATTAGCTAATTACAACTCTGCTATTGTAAACCAGTTTGTGAATGACCTTAATTTTTTGTTCCTTGATTAACGGTTATACAATATGCAACGCT